GGGGGGGGGGTCAGCCCCACTGCAAAGGTTAATAACATTTTTAACTGGAGTTGTTTTAACTACAGTGCATGTATGCTTTTTGCTCTCCTCTCTTGTGCTAACTTAGCCTCCCCCTTCCCAAATTCATACATACCTTGCAGTCATGACACCTGTGACATTGTTGACCTTATATGGCCACATAGATATATTTGGTCAGTGACATTGACCCAATATCGCCATGTGGCCATACAAGGTCAGTGATGTTACATACAGCTGATTGGGCAGGTGACCCCCATGTTCCTTCTGGGTTTGGAGGAGCTCAGTTATGGACAAGGTTTGTTGCAAACCTGAGCTCATCACTAATATTGAGAAGAGCAGATAAAAAATGGTGGCTTCTAAAAGAAAGCACAAAACACTCACACACCGCTCCTCCATGACTCAGCAGGGGGTGCCTGCCAATGAGAGTATGTTCTTGCTCTGAACTCACAAACACTTATACCTGTACTCCGGGTAATGCTGGAACAGTTTTTTGCAGATAAGATGGCATCACTGTGTCCCACCCAAGGTCTGCCTCGCTGACACGTTTCACCCAATCATAGGCTTAGTCCACTACATTTTTTTTGTTTAAGCGCTGGTGGCTTCCAGAAGTTAAACAATTATTTAATGAGACCCATGCAGTATATTGGTATGAATGTTTTGGTGAGACAATTGTCCTGTAATAAAACAATGAACACAGATAAAATAATTCTTGTGGCTTAAAGTGTATCTAAATAAACCAAGAACATAGTTTACCATAGTTGGATGTGGTGGCTGTATTACTTTGCTTTTTTAGCCTTTTTCCTTTCTTTTAACCTGGTGATCCTGCCAGTAACATACGTCCAGTCTTAGGGTGGCAACGCTCAGCCACTGTACTGTATCTATGGAGGAGCAGCATTATCACCCTAGGATAGGAAGTGTGTTAGGAGTACAGAACACATCCCACTCCCTCCATAACATAAGGGGTAGATGTTCTGAAGTTCACAGAGGTGAACTGGGCAAATAATACTGCTTGGGATTTTAGTGCAGCAGTGCGTTGCAAGCTCACTACAGGAAGTTACAAGGTCACTGGATTTCTGGCAAGGTTCACAGGTATTTTTTGTAATGATCAAACACTTTAAATGGTATAGTAACAGACCAGGAGGGAGTAAATAAGTTTTTTCTTGGGCTTTACACACACTTTAATTAATTGACCACATAACATGCAAAAGATTCATGGTGTGGCGATAGCTATGAGTAATTGAGCTACCTTGGGGTATGGCCTGCAGCATTTTGGGGTAGGGGGTTATTCATGCACTTGATATAAAAATCTGTATGCATCCTTTCCAATATTTAAATCTACTTATTTAATCTTTGCAGGTTGCCTTGTACAGTGGAGATGATTTAAATTTAGCCTCTACACATCCAACAATGAACAACAGCTGGACCCCCCCTCCGTATGGCGGACCCACGTTCCCATCCAATACCACACATCTCACTCAACAAAAGATATCAGTGTTCTTTTCCATCGTTTTCATGACTGTGGGAATTACATCGAACAGCCTCGCCATAGCAATACTCTTGAAAGCCTACCAAAGATTTAGGAAAAAGTCTAAGGCCTCGTTCTTGTTGTTTGCCAGTGGCTTGGTCATCACGGACCTCTTTGGCCACCTCATTAATGGAACCATAGCTGTGTACGTCTATGCATCAGATAGGAACTGGTCGAAACTCGACCACGCCAATGTTCTCTGCAGTATCTTTGGCATGTGCATGGTGTTCTTTGGACTATGTCCGCTGTTGCTTGGGAGCGTCATGGCAGTGGAACGGTGCATCGGAGTCACGGAGCCAATTTTTCATTCAACCACCATGACGTCAAGGCACGCCAAAATCATTTTGACTTTCGTTTGGCTGTTTGCCATCCTGGTGGCTTTGCTGCCAATATTGACTTTAAGATCTTATCACATCCAGGCCACCAAGACGTGGTGCTTTCTAAAGACGGAGCAGATCGAAAACTGGTTGGATCAGTTTCATCTTCTGCTGTTCTCATTTCTGGGGCTCTTGTCTCTGGCCATCTCATTCCTATGCAATGCTATCACTGGAATAACGTTACTGAGATCCAGGATGAAAAGCCAGCAGCACAGACAAGGCAGATCACACCATATAGAGATGATAATCCAGCTCCTGGCCATCATGTGTGTCTCTTGTATTTGCTGGGCTCCTTTCTTGGTAAGCTCTCATGAACATCAGGAAACGTTTTTGTGTACTTATGGCGTTGTCTGTCCTGTCAATAAGCTAAACATGTAACTCGTTTTCTGTTTGCCAGACTTTTTTTTTCTTAAAGCCAACCTGTAGTGAATGGAATATGGAGGATGCCATTGCTGGTCTCCTTTTGAAAATAATAGTTGCCTGGCATTTTTGAGTCATTGACAAACTGAGTGTGAAAATCATGAAAGTAAGAGTAAAATCAGAGCTTGTAATCTGTAAATGTATTTCTTCTTGATGACTCAGATGATATTGATGCTATTGGATCAGCATGGCAGGGAACTAGTATTTTTTTAATGGGAGGTAAGTAATACCTCCTGGGTACTGGTTTCTTCGAAAGTGTTTACGCACGGCCGTTCCTTTAATGAGGCAGTCTGAGGCTCGGCAGGCGGTATCTCTTTGGATCATGTGGGGGAGCTTCAGGCAAAGTGGAATGGCCGCTCTGCGGCACAATGTTTGCAGTGTGCCTGCCTCCCCCTTTCTGGCCAGCGCATCACAGGTTGATAAGAAACCGGGCAGGTAGCTGTGCCCTTGCTGGCATCTCGCTGAGCGCCTGGCAACCAGGGATATTGGTTGCCAGAAGCTGGGCAGGACGCTGGCCAGAGCTTCCCAGTTTGCTAAAAGCTGGACAGGGAGCTGGACAGGGAGATGGAGAGCCCTTACACATCTCCCTGCCTGGTACTTAGCTTTTTGTATACAGCATACAGAGAGAAACATATGTATATAGATAGATAGATAGATAGATAGATAGATAGATAGATAGATAGATAGATAGATAGATAGATCTTCCTGTATATCATAGATAGGTAAACATTCAGATTAACATTGCACTACAGCGCCTTCTAGTGCTCAAAAGACATAAAAGTACATTAGTATATGCTGCAGCATTTCCAACAAGGTAGAGGCTGGATATACTGTATGTGCTTAAAAAACAATCCTTTGCACATCTGCTTTTCTGTGCATGCTAGGGGACTTTATAGGCGATGTTATGAGGAACAGAAAATTCCAAGTTGCCTAATGGCTTAAAGCAAAACCCCAAAAAAACAATTTCTCTTCTGCTTTCAGCAAGCTCCTTGTTAGCACATGTAAATGCAGGACACCTGATTGGCTCCAAATACTACCGTACCCTCCCCCAGTCTGATTGCTGCATTACAGGGGATTGCAAGGAGTTGTAAAGTCTAAGCATATACCATCCTGTTATAATATCAGCATTGTAATAGAATACATACTATAGTTGTTTTTGTAATGCAGTCAAAGCTTAGTTGAAAAAAAAATGAAGAGAGTGCTGCATACACACATTACTGCAATCATTGGTGATTATTTCAATAACTTTCCAGAGTTCAGCTGAAGGGTTGCCAGAACGTTTAAAGACACTGATGGTTGGTTTGCCCGGCATTACCCAAATTTGTATGCCCATTTATTGTCAGGAAAAGTCCTCCCAGCTGTGTGTCATCATTAATTAAGACACAAATTTAAATTGCCAGGACTAGGAAACATTAGCAGTCTTTCATGACTGGGTGCAAGCCCAAAGTACCCTTCTCTCCCCACCTTCAATACTGACACAAGCATTAAACTGAACAAGTTTATTGAAATTGGAAGTGCATGGCCACAGCAATGTACAATAACAGAACATTACTAGAATGACACTAAACCAGGGGTAGGCAAACCCTGGCCCTCTAGCTGTGGTGAAACTACAAATGCCAACATACCCCTGACTCTGGGTATCATTACTGTGGCTGTCAGAGTCTTGCAGTGCCTCATGGGATTTGTAGTTGTACCACACCTGGATGGTTGGAGTTTGCCTACCCCTGACCTAAACCATTCCAAATAACCCTATATAATAAAATGCAATGTATTAAATCTGTTCTGAAAAATAAGTGCTATATAAGGTCCCCGATGAGTGCCAAACACCACCTACTCTTATGAAAGGGTGTATCATGACACCATAACATCGTTCCAACCATAGGCTAACCATTGGGTATGCCCATAAATGCTCCTCAATACTCCTCCCGGCTACTGAAGCTATTCAGTCCCTTTAGCCCCACCATCTCCACCTCCAATAATTCCATCCCTTTTCCTTCTGTGGAGAGCCGTACCTTGATCATCAGGGACCCATCCCTCCTATAAAGACACCTAAAAGAAACACAGCATTAGCCAATGGAAATGCATCACTCGGCTACCCAGATGAGCTGGTACTTACCCCAACTCTAACTACAACCCATACATCCCTCCTGCTGGTGCTACATTGGTGGCAACTAACAGAAACCGCCCCTATTTCTAATGGGAGGGTAAGTGGGAATTACTTGTCTTGCTTATCCACCACAAAATGGCTCCCTACCTATCCTTTGCTGTCCAGCCTTGTCCACACTCCTTCTCCACCATCTGACCATCCCATCCCACCCCACCCCTTTCTGCTTTCTATACTTAACTAAAACCAACGTTCGGATTTGGACTGAACCCATCATGGTCCATCTTACACCTATAGCTCCATAGGGGAGCTATGTCTATGGGAACCTCCTCTAAGGCGTTTTCTTTTCATTAGGTTGCTCTGAAAAATCTATTTTCTCCTCTCACCAAATTATTTGAGCAGGAGATCTGTTTGTTTGGACTGCTTGTCTTGTAAAACACTCCAACTTTTCCAGGCGTGACCAGGTTTGGTGTGCTGACAACTGGAACACAGTTACGTTTGTGTAAAGCAATGAATAAGTTTAAAAGCTGGGAGGATAAGAAAATCTTTATACTCCGCTGAGGGTTTGCACATCACACCCTCTGCAGGCGTACTAAACAACTCCCACCTCTCTCTCTTAGGCAATCTGGAATTCAACGAGTGGTCAGATAATTATCTATGAAAATATCCTATTTATGTTGAACTGCTTATTTGTTTGGCCGGGGGCACTCTGTACATGTTTAAAATTCCTGCTAACATAATACGCTCTTCAATTTATACACTTGGAGAACAATGATGTGTATCGGAACACAAGAGCAAAAAGTGTAATATGTTGATGTTCTCAGATGTGGTGGTTGTATGAGGCCCGGGTGCACACTATTCCGCTACTGCAACGTGCAAAAAAAACCCATGCCATTTATTCTTAATGGCACCTTGCCAAAGGACATGCATTGCAGTGCACCTATAGCGCATTATAACACATGGTAACTGCGTTAGAAAAAAAGTGTATGCAACTTTTTTGGGGGTAAGCATCGGAGCATTTGGGCAAGTACGAGTGCTGGCCCAAATACTTGATATCGACACAGATACGGATACTAGTATCGGTGCAGCCCTACTGTGTGTGTGTGTGTGTATGTGTATATATATATATATATATATAGTATATGTGTCAATATTAGTGATACCACATGCTGGGGATTTCATTGTCCAGAATAGCTTGGGTTATCAGCAAACATTGAGCCATTTTGTGATGCAAAGGATGATGGGAGATTAGCTCCAGGCAGAACGTTTACAAACTATCATCCTAACCATGTTTTTAAATGTGTCAGATAGTGGAGATCAAACAGAAAATTGTATCCGTGAGTGACGCTTTAGCTGTCTAATAGTGGAGTCCTGCTGGGAGCCGCGCCGGCACAGAGGAATTCGTTCTGCGAGGACAGGATGAAATGCGGTCAGAGACAGAATGCACAGTACATTAGCCAAAGATTAAAATGTGTTGAAAATATTTGAAAGGGCCACTATTGCAGAAGATCTTGAAGTTTGAAAGTTGCATTGTGCATAATCCATGTAGAGATAGTATTTAGTTTGTAATTGGCTTTAAATTATTATTATATGCTTTTATTTATATTTTTCTCCACATTTACATGTGCATTATAATACCGCCAGGGTGCAAACAGTAGTCACATTTTACTCGCATGGTTTCAATATTTTATATGTAACAAAACTGTTGTCAGAACTGCTTAAAGTGACATTAAAGTCAAGAGGTTTTTAAGATATTTTAAATACTCATTAAATCACTTGATGACACAGCAAGGCAAGTCACTCCCGTGTTCCCTGCTCCCCCTCCTACCTCCTCCAAGCTAGTAGATGGACAGCTGCTGGAGACTGCTCTGTCCCTTGTGATCTTGTACTGGACAGGAAAATCAGGGAAGCTGAGCTGAGAGAGTTGGAGCTGTTTGGAAACATGATGATTGTGAGTGCTTGTGGACAATGTCTAAACTGCCTGAACATACCTGAAGATCTTTCTTGGGCAAAACAGATGACATATCTGCACTGGGTTAATCTGCCAGGGGCTCAGCTATACGCAGTATTGCTTGGTCAAGGACCTGCCCTCTGATTGAATATTAGACAATGAAGAAGCATTATAATGGTTATTCTAGTCCTCTTCCCTCCTGTAAGTATGTTCACAAAGTTAGACTGACAGTACTGTGCCACCCAATGGAACCCTAATTGGTTAAATTTCTATGATAAGCTGACTAGCTTGCTGAATGATTTTACTTGTCTAGAATTTCTCAAATTATATTGCATTGCAATAATGCATACACTGCAACATTATGTTGCATTACAGCCCCCTCGTAGCTGAAGCCAATTGATTATGAAAAACTCCCCAACTTTCCTGCTCTATTACTTCCACCACAATGCAAGTCATATGTTGTGGTGCGCTGAAGCTGCAGTGTAGATGCAATGTGTATGTGCATTGCAATACCATTCAAAATGGGTTGCAATGTGCATACGCAGTGCATTGCAGTGTGAACAGACCCTTATATATATATGGCACCCTTTGTAACCTATATTGGCAGCCATTGAAGCCTATATGTTACATAAAACATTGCATGCACCAGGAAACTTGTCATTACCATTAGGCTGTGCTTGTCAGCACTGTAGTATAAGCTTAGTGTACATTAGGGAGATTATACATCTCTCAGGACAAATTGCATGTTGTAGTTTACAATAATTAGCGCAGGAGACACATTCCAGTGGCTCAGGAAGTATTGATTGCATGGATTCCCAAGAATGT